GCCTTTTTCTTTCTAGAATGACTACAAATTATAACACAAAAACATAAATGTTTAGACTAAATAGCTTAAATCTCAACATTATACATATGTATTGAACTTTCAGCCGTGTTTGGCTAACAATACAGAAGTTACAATGATGTGGCACACGTACACCCATCTTACCGTATCCAATAATATAAAATTGAACTTTAGTCTTTACAAAGTGACCTGTCTTGGATGTGTTTTAGTAGACTAAAATACAGTCACACTTCCATTATTGTACATTAGATATATAGATAGATTATTACTGTTTACAAATAAAGCAAACAATTATCTCTTCTAGTTACGACCTTTGTACTCAGTTGCTACTTGATTTAGGTTGGTAAGCCTTTTATGATTTTGCAAGTGGAGGATATGAAATGAAATTATTTTTTTAAGGTTTTATATATATACAGTTGAATAACCAAAAAATCATAAATTACTATATCAATACTATGGAACTCCACTATAATTTATCAAGCTTAGTAACTAAGATGTATTTCAGTCTTAAAAAAATATGAAATTTTGAGCAGACCAAAGACACAACCAACCTCCTTGAAATCTTGGTTTGAAGAAAGAGATGGCATCCAAACACATTAAAATGGCTAAAAAAAGAGCGTTCTGAGCTTTTGATTGGTTATTTATGTCATATATAGAAGTAAGTGTATATAAGGGACTGTTTCCAAAAATGGAAAGAGGTGGGCATGGTGCCACTGTTTTTGATTTATTACATGAGCAATATCTTAGCAAATAGAAAAGATAAGAGTTTCTTATTTTATATTCTAGTTTGTTAATATTGGTAATTTGAGTTCCTATAGACTCAATATTTTGACATCACAAACATCTAATTTCAACCAGTGCTGCATTCAACATACCACATGATACACAAAAATCGATGTTTAACTGTTTCTTTTTTATTTACTTTTAAATTAAGAAATTGAGTAATGTATAATACTAATATATGAATTATAATTACAGTTTGATACCAAACTTATTAACATAAATTCATGAAACAGTAGTTCAATAAAATTTTGAATGCGAGTCTACAAACACGATGACATGGCCTTTCACCCGTGACCCATCTGGAAAGGGTTAACCAAGGTTATGAAGCTATGCTTGTGTATGTCTATTAATTAAGTTTGAAGCCAAATTTATTTTAAAGTTTTGTAAAATGAGATGAAATAAGAATTATACAGGAAAAAACTAAAAAGTGTTTAGATACAGTTTGCCTTGGTGCTTAGAAGTCTAACTGATATATGGGGATAATGCTGTCTAAAGAAGAAATATTAATGAAATTCTTAGCAAACAAAAGTTCTTTCAGTTATGATAACATATAGTTTATAACTGTACTGACAAACCTTTACTGTAAAATATCCAACATCTGATACCACAAACTATGTTATTATATTTTACTTGTATTATGCTTACTCTTGCAAAGCTTTTGGATCACTCTGCATTTGTTCCAAGATAATTCTCATTGCTGGATCTCCAAGAATTTTTTGAACTTCAGGATCTGCCATCGCTCGTTTTCTGACTTCCTCTGGGTTGTCATCAGATGCTAACAAACATTTCCTGTAACCATCAAGTGCTTCCTACACACAGCAATAAATATATGAACACTGATTATTTTTTTCCACAGCTATCAACACAATAAAGGAAATACAAGTTCTAAAACTCTATCACAAAGACCATTTCATTAGACATAATGAAAACTGAATCTTCCTGTGTAACCATAAAATTAAATGTTACAATGATAATTTTTTTTCATTATAATTAACGTTAAACAGCTCTGTGTAGCAAAAGTTAACATTTTACTGAACTGAAAATGTATTTCCAATAATACTTACCTAAGCTGACACTTACAGCTATTACTCGACAGCAAGGGTTTCTTTAGTCTGATTTTTTCTTGCTTACTCCAGTCTTTTATACCCTACTCAATTGCAATTGCCAATAACTTTACCTACATCAATATGCCCTCTATACTGGTACTGTAGATAAGCACCTCATTCAGATAATTTTATCACTTTTTTGAGACTGATACCATTCCAGTCTCTAACACCAGCTCTAAGTGGGGACGAAGGGTGGGAGAGTGTCAGCAGAGGTAAGTATTATTGGAAAAACAACTTCAATTTAGGAAAATGTTAACTTCCAAAACATACTTACCTCTGCTGATACTTGCAGATAGAATCCAACACTGAGAAAGTGGAGGGGCTGGTGAGGGCATTATCCATACAGAAAGCATCTGCATAGATCATGGGCATACCAAGATAAGAGTGGTACCCAAGTACCAAATATTTAAACTTGCATTTCTGCCTAGACATGAGGAGTCGATTGTAGGCAGAGCACTTATCAATTTTTCCAAACATTTCTGTCCATCCAAAGACACAGGTTTGTATTTACTAAGAAACTAGCATCCCTATCAGGGTTTTGTTATTCTTGATTCTCCTACTCTGATTTTATGAGAACAGTCTCATTTCCAAACTTTTATGACCTCACAACATGTGATGTGAATAACTAGCAATGAAGCTCCAATAACTACAGACTGAAGTTTAATACAATTGGACTGAGTAGATTATAAATTATTTGCACCAATGTAGAATGAATAAAGTGATGTGAGAAATAATTTATGGAAAAGTGATTAGATGTAGCTCCTGCTAAGAACAACAGAATTTAGTGGGATTTTTATCAGGGATAAGAACAGTAAGTGAAATTTTTCAGTCCTAGATTACAGCCCATAAGGGCTGGGGGCCACTAAGGATCCCCAAAAGCAACAGATGTCTGAAAGCTCTCTGATGCATTCTAGGTCAGTTTGGAACACTAAATATTCAATTCTATATTGCTATGGTGATAAGTAAACATCACACTTTTGCCACTTTAATTCATATTCCAGTGATCAAAATTACAGACAAGTTAACAAGTTATTTCATAAATATTTAAACAGAAACTACATACAAGCACTCAGAATTATAGTTATCAGACAAGTTAAATATAAAATTGTTATTTTACAAAATATTGAGGCAATACTAATAAAAACCAGTTTCTGCTTAGGCAAATTACCAACCATTCATTTACAAACTCAGTCTTTAACCCACTCTATCCAGGCTTTGTCATTTTGCTCAACCTTGTAACCATGTATCTACATATATACTATAACTTTGAATTTACTACATGTATCTTCACAAAACTTGACAAGTTTCTGGTAAACATTACAAGTCTGTTATACACAGAAAATCATTTTTTAATTAATTATTTTTTACTAAAGATTTATTTTTGAATTTACAAAGCCTTTATGGAATCAGTTTGAGTTCAAGGTGATTTTCATATTAAAATTAAAAGAAAAACCCTTTTTCATCTTACAGTTTTGTATTTCATTTGCATAACCTCTAGTCCTCGTATTTGAATATCAAAAGTTTTTAAGGTAAACGTTTATATTTTATCAGTTATTTTTTTTATCCTAACACTTATTGTAGCTACATCATGAATATAGTGATATGGAATTTTGAATATTATGAAATGAAAAGAACAAGACATTTTTTTCCTTCTTTGAATGAATTATTTATTTATTGCTATACACTCAATTTCATTATCTTCCGTATTTCAACTTTTTTTTACCTTTTCACACATTTCAGTTTTATAGTTCTATTGCTTGCTTGTATGATGTTCAGCTTTTTTAATACCAGAAGAGCAACACCTGATTTTAGCAGATTTTCATACACTTAAGCATAAGCATGTGGAACTTTGGACTTGTGCACTCATAGTTACCTAAGCCTAATTTTGTTTTTCTCCTCAAGTCTTTCCCAACAAAGAAATTAATTTACCTTTCAGATATGCTATTCAAAACATAACATATAAATCACTAAAATAAAGTAAAAAAGTAACTATAATTAAACTGGCTTTCTAACTAAGCTACCTAAGGTAAAAAATATTTTTAAATTCTATAACATCAACTTGAATACCAACATGTACCTCTACTAGTCTAACATTCACTGGCACCAATTATAAAATAACCATTCAAAGCATGAAGTTTAAAACACTTTTTCTATTGGTTATAAGCAATTACATCAAACAGAGCATGTGGTTTTGAAAACGTTCTTGAAATTAAGTATAGATGTGGGCAGGGCTTCTGTTGTGGGTTGAAAAAAAATTATTCATTTTTCACTACAAGCTAGCACATTGAACCTGTATAGTGTATCTTGAAATGATTTATAGACTGTGTCTACAAAAAATCAGACAGTGCAGTTGCTTTTATATTGAAATTATATAAACTAAAACAAAAGATACATGACACACAGACTTTTTTAGAATTTATTTTTAACTTGATAAATTAATACTTAGATAATATAAAAATCTGAATTATAAAATACACTCAAGTGCTAGTTTCACTGGCATACATTTTGAATAGAGCTCTGTGAAATGTTTTGATATGGACAGAAGTTCCAGGGGCCATACTGAGAGGGATGAAAGGCAGATATAGAACATTATGTATAAAACCCTGCCTAACCCATTACATATTTCACAATTCTACAGCAAACTGAAGCATGTTGGAATCTGTGTGTGTTGTGGCAAACATTTTGTCTATCAATTTTGGCTACTGATAATGTAAGTAGAAATTTGTCTTGTGTCATCAAATTTAATTGGAATTTCACACTTTAGATTTTTAAAAGCAAATTTTATGACTTAGAAATATATGATAAGAATAAGTGTTATAACATACGAGGTCAATAAATATTGTATTGTAATACATTATCAGATCCTTCAGATCAGTGTAAAATGACAGCTTATGAGACAAGATAATTTAGGAATCTGTGACATTTAACACATTTTATAATTTTGAGGATTTTGTAATACACCTGCTCCCCCAACTTTCATCAGGTCGTGTCTATCTCTGTCTAATTTAACCCTTTAGTTACTGGGTCCTAACATTGCAAGGACATAACTCTCGTAATATTTCATTCCAAAAATAAAACTAGTGGATGAAATTATTTGAAACTTGACAGGAACTTTACTACAGATATGTAGTTTCAGTAACATAAAACATTTCAATTTAGATTTTTCTTTATTTCTACTAAACATTAATTATTTATTGTAGTTACTTGCACTCAGACTATGAATAGTTCAAATGCAAGGGTATTTTCATGTTAAGTACAAAAAAATTTTTTTTTTATTTTACAGTTTTCAAATTTCATTTGCATAACCTCTAGAACTTCCTAAATGAATATCAAAAGTTTTATTTAGGGTAAATGTTTATATTTTATTTTCTCTGCCATATCACTAACTGTAGCTATTACCATCAATGTACAGTGCAATGAAATATTCAAAATTAAGAAACGGAAATATGTACATACTTTTTTAACTCTTTGTCAGATAACGTTAAAACGTCTTCTTTAGGTTATATGTGTAATTTCATTTCTTTACTTTTTCACTTAGTGTATTTTTAATGTTCTATTTTTTTTTCCTGTCCTTTATCACTTATTTATTATTCATCAACCCAAAGGTGCCACGGAAAATATAATGGTATCATCAGCACAGATATTTAGCCTCCAACAAAATGTTTTTGCTCTCACTTAATAACATAAGCTTCACAGAGCAAGACAAGGCTTGGGTTATATTTAAAAAAAAAAGGTTTCAAATATGAAATTTAAAACATAGATAATACATAATTACCTAAATTATAAAAGTAAATTTAACTGTATCTAACTAATACGTATCAAGGTGAGGATTAATGGTAAGTGCTAGCAAGGACAAAATCAACAAACAATGATTTGGCTGTTTGATGCACTTGGTAATGAATTCAGAAAGCCAGTTTTAAGATACGTAATTTAAATGAGTTCTTTCTATCAGGTACAAACATGTCCTTCAGATTCATACATGTTGCTTGAAATAACATGTCCAAGTTAAAAGGTAGGCATGGCTACTGTCAGGGGATGAGAATATTTATTTTACATTTTTCATCTTTCAATCGACCCGAAATAATCTGAACTAAGAACAGTGAAGTAGTACTTTATGAGTAGAATTCAGTCTAGACATATACCATAACATGTACACAGTACAAGAACTATTATTCAAGTAACAGAGACAAAACATCAAGGTGTGTGTGTGTGTGTGTGTGTGTGTGTGTGTGTGTGTGTGTGTGTGTGTGTGTGTGTGTGTGTGTGTGTGTAGAGAGAGAGAGAGAGAGTATTAGCTCTAGTGTACTATTAACATACGAACGAAAACGTAAACGTTAGTAAGTTTAGTTTAAGTTTTTAGTTTTTTTTACGGTTTA